ATAATAATAATTAATAATAAATAAAATTTCATTATTTTCAGATACGATAACGACATCGAACTCGTCAAATGAAATGTACGTGTATGTTCCCTAATGAAGGCGTCCCTAATGAAAACGACAAAGAAAGTTAAATACCGTGGACATTTGCATGTGTTATTTTTATTCCTTGTTTTTGCAATTTCGTCCGAAATTTGTCATGGATACAAGGATATTACGGTTGAATATGAGTTCGGGTGCACCTGGTTAGGGGGAAGCATGAGTGGCACTCTCACATGCTCCTGTTTTGAAGGAGCTAAGGTAAGTGCTATAATCTCTTACAATTAGTAAAGTAACAGACAGTCAAATTCGATGCAAAAGATCAGTATACTTAGATTTGCAGATGATATAGAGTATTAGCATCTACGGCTATATAGCAGTCGAGACGCCTTCAATAAAGAGAAGCCACTTCTATGCCCATGAACGGTTAATTTAGAAATTCGAACAAGATTGTTAAAGATGTATGTATAGAGCGCTGCGCTGTACGGATGCGAAACATAGACGGTGGGCGCGACGGAAAAGAAAAGGTTAGAAGCGTTCGATATGTGGTGTTACAGGAGAATGATGAGGATACGGTGGATAGAGAAGATTAGAAATGAAGAGGTATTAGAAATAATAGGAGAACAAGGACTCTATGGAAGTCAATGAGATATAGGCGAGATAGGTTGGTAGGACACCTTCTCAGGCATGAAGGTCCAGGCAGAAACATATTAGATGCAGAAACGGGAGTTAGGAGGGCTAGAGGTAGACCTAGATTAGATTACTGTTCGCAAATAGTTAAGGATGTAGGATGTTCTAGTTTTGGGGAAAATCGAAATTTAGCTCAGAGTAGGAAAGAGTGGAGGTGCGTGTCCAACCAGTCTTAGAACTAAAGACCTTATGATGATGATGAAGTAAGAAAACAAAATTTTTGATGGGGTAGATAAATTTGACCTCTTCATATTTGCGTCTTGTGTCTTAAAAATTTTAGCAATAATTATTAATAAATTACAAATTTCATGTTTTCGGCAACGATAGAATCTAAGAACACTTTCACATGAAGAAGGTGAATAAAAGGTAATTACAATCAGTGCTAAACCAAAATGAGAGTTTTAATAAGTATTTAGAAAAGCAATTGATGTAATCAATAAAGCTTCTGCCTAATAGGTGTTTTAGAGTTTTTAATGGAGTTTTTAATGGTGTTGTATAAAAATCTTTAGACGACCTTGGTACTTCTTTCGGCAAACCTTTCGCGAACGGGACTGGCTAAATCGAGGGTCGAGTGATACCTTTTTGGAAAGTTTAGGTCACGACCTTTCGAATGATACCACTCCCAGTGTGCGGAGAACTTGACGTTTGACCCACTTTAGCAACGAACACTGTATTTAGAGATTCACATATCAGACGGGTTCGGAAAAGCCCCCCGGGCGGGGTGGTGAGGGGACTTTTACTGATTATAACGTAACATGAACTAAAATAACGTAGGTAAGGTAAGGTCCAAGTATAATTGGACCTTACCAAGTATAATTATATATCATTCGAACGAAGCTTTTGAAAAAGGTCGAGAAATTTACAAATTTTTAAATAGTATTTTCAATAGCAATTAACAGAAGTTATCTAAAGTTTCTTCTACTCATATTCATACTTTCAACCTTTTACTTTTTCGTTACTGTTAGTCAGTGGTGTTGTCGAGCCGGAACGCTCCGGAACGTCGTTCCGGTACTTCCTTTTTGGACAGGAACGCGTTCCGGAACTAAAGATGATTTCTGATAACGAGAATTGGCTGACGTATTGAAAAAAAAATTAAAAAGAATTGCTGATTTTTTTTCTAATTTTTGACGAATTTTTATATGTATTTTTTATAAACAAGGGTTTGAACCGAACCCGAACCGGAACAAAAACCGGAACGAACCGGCTTGTTTTTCCGAACCGTGAACCGGAGTCCGGAACGTTTTTTTTCTGCTGAACCGGAACTCGAACCGAACCGAAACAAATACGTGAACCGGTTTTTGAACCGGTTCAACGGGAATTAAACTTTATTTATAATAAACATTAGAAGAAAAAAATATGAAACTTTAGAAAAGTAAAGATTTCATACATAAATTTTAATACAAGCGGCCCACGGACCGTACGTTACTCATCCCTGGCATAGTTTATTGCCATACCCAAATGGGCCTGCGGCTAATGCTAAGAATATATATACATATACACAAAATGGGTTTCGTAATGATTTTCGTTTCCTTTCCTTTTCATGTTATATACAGGGTCGATCCTGGCGACGGACGAAAATTGGGGGAAATCCCGCCCCGTCGTCGTCGTCGTCAAATTTGGGACGTGAGACCGCACAGAGCGGCCGCCTACCCAGGATCGGCCCTGTCTATAATTATATATACGCGTTCCGGTAAAAAAAAATTAGCACAACACCACTGCTGTTAGTTACAAAGAATTTTTGCTGTTACCCATAATGTTGGTCAAAAAAGAACCGCATGCTTTGTGGATCAAAGTTAAGAAAGCGCAATGAATAGAGCACAGCCCTGGATCTAGTGGAGTGAGGCAAATCGGCGCACCTGCCTCGGGCGGCAGTTTCAGGGGGTGTCAAAATCATAATATAATATGGTTAGAAATAAAAAACTAGCCTCAGAAAACGTCTAGCATACAACGCACGTCCTATCAATCATAAATTGGATCTTAAAACGTCCAGTTTTCGAAAAAATTGTAGATCGAGGCTGGATACTCGACGCTCAATAGTGTAAACCGAAAAAATCATTCGCATTATTTTTTTTTTCAATCGTAATAAACATGTATAATTCAGAAAATGAACACGTAAAAATAGAAACCACTAAAAAGATTAAAATAATTTTGCGAATTCCAAATAGTCTCTTTAGTACATTGCGACCACCCATCTTATTTAAGGTTCAATTATATATATACTTTTATTGTTTTTCTCATTTGTTGCAGGAAATGTATCTTCAAAAAGGAGACATTCCATCCTTTGACACCTTCGCAATTAACATAAAGAACTGCAACTCAGTAAAATTCGGTAGTGAAGTCATAGCTACTTCGAGAAACTTAAGAACAATTCAACTTGCAAATATAAATAACTTGAATTTCGAAGAGAGCAGTTTATTTTGGGACGGCTACGCGGAAAACATAAATCCCTTTAGCTATGCTCAAAGTCCTGAGTATGCTGACAGGACCATGCCGGGACTAAAGATTTCCATTATCAACTCGACAATTCACGACATTGCGCGGTACACGTTTAAGGGACGAATGAACGAGATTGTGTTTAAAAACGTTTCAATAGATCAAATATCATCGTTTGCCTTCACGTCTTTGGTTCAGACCGTCAGGGTGGAATTTATTGATACCGCGTTTAAAACCATCCACCCGCAAGCCTTTAAAAAATTTACAACAAATAACTTGCTGCTTTCTGGCGATAGTTTCGAAAGTGTACCGAGCAGGGCGTTTTCCGAAGTGGTAGTTTTAGAAAGTTTCTCTATAAAAAATTGCAAGTTTTCAAGAGTGTATTCCAGTGCTTTTATCATAAAAGACCCTAGATATTTCGATATCCTCAACTCGCAATTCGATATACTTGACGGGGATGGCTTCAAAGTAACCACCAGAGGAGATGTAGGCGTTAAAGGTAATATTTTCAATATAACAAACGGCGGTGCCTTTTTGGGAATCCAGTTAAATATGGAACAAGTGGCTGTAGAACAAAAGTTCATTTTCGACAATGACACTTTCAATGCACTCCACGGTGACACCTTGGTAGTAGACAGCATAGGATTTCAACCAGTCTACACCAACATATTTTTGAACCAACTGTGCGACTGCTGGGTAATTGAGGATAAGAAATTTTTTGACGAGATAAAGTGTTTGCTTGAAAATGGCGAGCGGGTTACCATGAAGGAGTATAAAGACCACAACTGTTCGGTATTTTCAGGCATTTCTCTGGTCATAATTGTTGTTGTTGTGGTTCTAACGCTATTAGTGATAATCGTTCCTATAGTTGCGGTTTACATAAAAAGAACGTACAAAGGGACGAAACAAAAAGAGTATATAAGTGATAAAAATGGAAAACCTTTAGCTTTAATTTTACCAGATGGACGAACTTATAAAGAAACAGAACTTCATGTGATTGTTGAAAGAACTGATCTATTGACAACTGATCTTTAGGGTAAATAATCTAATGAATTTGGAGAAAATGAAAGTAAAATGGACTACAATAATTGAACCTTTAAGCCTACAAAACAATGTTCAATTGTACATAACTATAACTGCCGTGGTAGACAATTATTATTTTAGAAAAAATGTTCGGGCCAACGATTATCCCTTGTAAATATCAAAATCTTTGTTTGTACCTACAAGATGTCAAATTTGTAAAGTTAGAAACATAAGCGTGCACTTCAACCATATCGGAATACGTTTATTTTAGAATTTGGTTGGAAGCAAAATACATCACGTAAATAATAAAGAGATAGACAGATTAATTTTTAACATTATAAATAATGTGTCAAAATTGCTAATCGTAAGTTGGAAAGGATGATTGCTTGCACCTTACCACAGAAAGCTCATTTTTTATTGACTCACTAACCATGTGAAGCATGGTTGACCATTTGGTATTTCACAAACCTTTGTTCGGTAAATTGTTTAACTACAGATAGGCATGCCAACTGTACATTGAGTGGCAATACAGAACACTACAAGATAAATTCATATTTGCTCCTTTTTTATTAATGTAACACAATTTTCGAGAAAACACTCATGTAAACGAACAATTTATTAAAACTTCTTCCTTTGTACTATCTTCCCTAATGTTGAATTATAACTTTTTCAATGAAAAACGACCAAAGGGGTGAAATGTTATTTATTTCATTTTAATCTTAAACCGACGTTTCGCTTTTTTGGTCGTAGGTTTTATCAAGGTGGAGACGGACGGAGACATAGAGAACTTGTTTTGTATAATCAAATTATGAATTAACACGCAATTTAAAATAATTAATTAAAGTTAAAATAACAAATATTAATAAATAATGAAAATGCAACTGGATAAAATGACAACCACAATTAAAACTCATCCTTTTGGTCGCTTTTCGTTATAACAGTTATAATTTATTTACCTAACAGCGGATGAGATAAATACAAACGAAGAACATTTTACGTGGTAACTGGCGAGAGAGAAGACGAAGTGAAGTCATGGTGTCAGCTTTTCAAATTGTATTATTCAGATGCAAGAAATAAAAGAACATTTGGCATTTTTTTTAACTCAAAAAGGTACTGTCCATTTTAACAATGGGTAGTTGCACCTGCAACAACGTTCTAAAACATGTTGCTTGTTTTATAAGAACTAATTTAGCTCATTTGGGACGTACTATTTTTAATATAATGTGCCTTAGTTCCTATAATATTTCTAGATGTAAATATAACATAAACACGTCCAATTTTTTACTGCTGTAAAATCTACTAGCTACTTATTAAGTAATAAGAAAGCTGGAAATGATATGGTTTGTATGTAATTATCATTATTGTAAATTTTCTTAAAAATAATCCGATGTCTAGATATTTAAAAACTCTGCTGTGACTAACAGGTGAGTTAACAAAAATGATTAGATATGTATTTTATGTTTACTTATTTTTTGTTCGTTTCCATGTACTTATATGACCTTCAGTCATTTGGCAATTTTTCTGAAGATTACAAAAGAAATTTATTTACTCTGTTTTGTTCATTTGGTAGTGCATGCAAATATATTTTAGGAATACTTGTATCTAATTTATCAGCTGTGATATACCGTNTATATTAAAATAAATTATAGAAGTTTAAACAAATATGTTTCATTGTATGTGTACAGTTGTTTGTAGATAAAGGAAGTTTTCTTAATCTGAAATTTCAGTAATTCCTTACCGCATCTATGCATATTTTATTACGTCCCTAACGTAACATATTGTACAATATCTAAATAGGAAAAACAAAGCAAATTGATTTGCAATTCAAAGACATTTTATTCCAGACTATGCCTGTTTGAAGTCACCTATGTTTGGGAAAGTTGGGTCGGAGGCTAGATTTTTTTGGAATCAGTCCAAAAAATCCTCAGAAATGATAATTGCACTATGCGCCCTCGTAAAACCCCGGGCTTTATTTAAACTTGGGGAAAAACGGTTTTTCTTCCCAATTACGGCTTGAATCTCAAAAACTATTAACCTTAGAAAAAAAGTCAAGCAAATAAAAAAATTTCGTAATTAAATTTACTAAAGATGCATTTATTTGCAAATCAAAAAAATAATTTTTACTATTGCAAAATTACAAAACGGAATGTTTTTCATATAATTAATTGGTTTCATTGGCTTTCAAGCATGGCCAAAGAAAACTTTTTATTAGCATAAACTTTGAAAATTGTTGCTGGGGTCAGGCGGAAGCATTTTGATTTCTGGACACATGTTTAATGGGATACCTGAACTTTCGAACCCATTTTGCAAAATTATAATTTGATGATTTGGAGAACCTAGAGAATTTTTTTAAAAATTACGCTCAGTGTTTCGGGAAGGCGCACAGTGAAATCATAATTTTTGGGGACTTTTTGGGCTGATTCCAAAAAAACATAGCTTCTGACCAAACTTGCTCAACTAAAAGTAGATACCGCTTGGATTATATCTGAATTTGCCAAGAAGAAAATCGACTCGTCAAAATTCATTGCTTTAACCGAAGTCGCCGTTACATTCGAAGTCGTTACAGCCGAATAAAGACTTTCTGTGAAGACAATATTTCAAGTTAAATAAAAATAAGAAAAAAGCTTTTACTTTCAACTAAACTATATATCAGATAAAGTTGATCTTTATCTATATATTTTGTCAAATAGATAACACATAAAAAATACAAATTTGGCAGATAGAAGAAACAGTATCTCGAAGTCAGTTGCTATGTACATTTACCAAACCGAAATCGCAAGTCACTATAGTCGAATAAATTTTCTAGGAAGGTAAGTTCTAACATCAAGAGACAAATATTAAACAATTGAGACAAATACTAGATAAACAAGTATATATAGGAAATTCAGCCTGTTTTATCCATTATCGGTCGTATATACCGGAATTACCGGAATATTCCAGTTTATTATAAATATAACAGAATAAAATAAAAATGTTTCTTTTCTTTAATTATGGAGCTAAAATTGCAATGAAAAAATTGATAAAAATGTAATTATTAAAATGCTGCCAAATTAAAACTTTCCTGATAAAGTCATATCTTCAGTTAGTTCTTATATGTATTGTATAAATATATGCAGGAAAATTCTCCATCTTCTTCGTTTTATCTCAAAAACTAGTAGACAAACAATAAAAACTCACCTGAAAGGAAGAGCACCATCGAGAGCTTGTGTCACTGAAGGTACACTATTTAGGGCGAAACCTTTGGAAAGAAGCGAACTATGCATGGTTAGGGTGTGAGCTGCCACCATTTCTGCCATTTCGATGTCTATTTCATTTTCGTCGGCTGGAATAAAATTAGAATCCAAAATATATACAAACTGAATAAAATCGATTCTTATATGTAAAATTTTGGTACAATGTTCTACGCACTTTTTTGAACATGTTATAAACGGAATTTTCCTACAATAAATAAATATTTATCGAGAAAAGCAATTTCTTTTGTGTCCATTTTTCAGATATAAATTCGACTATTATTTGCATTATAATTTTAGGAAAAGAAGCCTTTTTTATAGTAACTAACCCTCATCATCATCATGATAATAAAGTAATCAGTCCTAAGACTGGTTGGACACGTACCTCCACTCTTTCCTATCCTCAGCTAAACTTCTCATTTCCCTAAAACTAGAACAGCCCACATCCTTAACTATTTGCGAAGAGTAATCTAATCTAGGTCTACCTCTACCCCTCCTAACTCCTGTTTCTGCCTCTAATATGTCTCTGACTAGACCTTCATGCCTGAGAAGGTGTCCTACCAACCTATCTCGCCTATTTTTTATTGACTTCCATAGAGTCCTCTGTTCTCATATTCTTTCCAATACCTCTTCATTTCTAACCTTTTCTACCCACGTTATTCCCATCATTCGCCTATAACACCACATTTCGAAAGCTTCTAACCTTTTTGTTTCCGCCGCGCCCCCCGTCCATGTTTCGCACCTGTACAACGGCGTGCTCCAAACATACACCTTTAACAACCTTTTTCGAATGTCTAAATTACCGTTCGCAAGCATAGAAGTGACTTTTATTAAAGGCGACACTACCCTGCGCTATCCTCTGCTTTATATCCTTATTACTCCTTCCATCCTGACTTATCTGACTTCCTAGGTATCTAAAATCAGCCATTTCTTCTAATTTTTCGTCTCCTATCTTTATATTCGCCCTTTCCCTACTAAAATTTTACCTAAGAAGTGTACTTCTATCATATCCACTCATGAAAATTATATTTCTTCATTATGTAACATAGTTTTTGTCTAGTTGTTTGGACACACGATTTTTAGGTATGATTCTTTATTGATCTTAAAGGTTTTAATTTTTGACATATATATAAAAAGGAATATGAAAATGTATTACAATTCCTTTAATTTGGGACTAATAAAAGAATTATACCTAAAAATCGAGTTTCCAAAAAGGTAACAACAAATACGAAAGAATCTTCATTTATTAAAGATTATTACTCTGAAAAATCGGACCTCCGTACCCTTATCAAAAGAGTGATTCTAAACAACGTACTTATTTAGCTTTTTTCGATTAAATCACTAGAAAATAATATTGAAAGAAAGGCCTTAAATTCCTGACACTTGTGCGCGTGCGCATAAGTTTATTAATGATGAATGTAATTACTTACTAATTTACATGTAAAATTAGGTCTAGTTCAAACTTTCCAAAAAATGGTGATTTTTCAGCTAATTTGATATTCAAACTCAAGTGTTAGCTGATTAGGAACTAAAATGTCGCTTTTAATATAAGCCTAGCCAGAATGAAAGTAGCGATTTATCTAGATTTACCCTCAACACCAAAATTTCTTTCATCCTTTTAGATGTAAAAATATTAAGTTATTTAAAAGGTGGGTACAATTACAAAAATAAAACAGTGAATTATATAAATAGTTAAAAACCACGTGAAAACAACAAATAAACCTATGCATTTATCTAGTTGCGAAAAAAGAAGTTTAGGTATGGCTAATTAATACTTACATCCATTTGTTGGTAGTTGTAGTTCCTTTTTCATAAGATTAGCAGTGCACATTCCACCAACGAAAGCCAGTTCAGCTTCTAATTGTTTGAGACCAAACGTAGGACAATTAAAACCCGGATAAGGCCATTCGTAACCGACAGCAAGGCATTTAAAACCGTAAAAACTCGCTCTATCATCCTTCAGATAATCTGAAGCGGTTTCCAATGAAAATATCACCTCATGTCCCGGTAACACTACCGCTGATTGGGGCCATTGGTTACTAGACACAAAAAATTAGAATCTTGTAGTACCTACACACAGTTACCTTTTCAAAACTAATTAATTTACAATTACAACTGTAACGTGTACAATTTCATTTGTCCATAAAATGAACATTTATTGCTTTATAAAACAGAACATTTTTATTACAATTTTCTGTCTGATATGTTCAATTTTCTATTCAGAACTGACAGAATAAATAATATGCTTTATAGTTGTCTCTAATGCCAACAGCTTTTTTGTTAAAACTGGAAGAAATAACGATGACTTGTTTGTTTGCGATAGTTCGGATTGGGTTTGTAGATATAATACGAAGACAACACGCAGGTGCACACACACACACACACATGGATCTGTTTATGAAGATTAGTAAGAGCACGTTTATGAATTCGAATAAAATACAAGTGATAGTGAAGGGCATCTGAAGAACAGTCCAGTGTGCCTATAGTTGTATGGGAGAGAGAAGAAAAATAGATGTTTACATACGTCTAGAAAGCGATAGAGAGGACATTAATTTACAACGACCGCTGAGTTGCCTGAATACTATTAAAAGCTTTGAAATAATAAAAAATTATTCATTTAAAAATGATGGGGATAAACATTAACTGACACTGCAAAAGATTAGTATGCTTAGATTTGCAGATGATAGAGCAGTATTAGCATCCAGCAAGGAGGCGTTAGAAATAGATTTAAATAAAATGGAAGCAGTATTGACAAAACTGTACTGTATGAAAATAAATAAAAGTAAAACAAAAATATTGGTATGCAAGGAAAGAAAAAGTACGGAAAGAGCAAATATAAAGATAGGAGACGAAAAATTTGAAGAAGCGACTCATTTTATGTATCTAGGAAGTCAGATAAGTCAGGACGGAAAAAGTAGTAGGGATAAAGCAGAGGATAGCGTAAGGTCGAGTCGCCTTTGATAAAAAGAAGTCACTTCTATGCTCGCGAACGATTAATTTAGAAATTTGAAAAAGATTATTAACGGTGTATGTACTGGTGCGAAACATGGATAGTGGGCGCGGCGGAAAAGAAATGGTTAGAAGCGTTCGATATGTGGTGTTACAGGCGAATAATGAGGATACCGTGGATAGAGAAGGTTAGAAATGAAGACGTATTAGAATTAGAGGACTCTGTGGAAGTCATTAAGAAATAGGCAAGATAAATTGGTAGGACACCTTCTCAGGCATGAAGGTCTAGTCAGAAACATATTAGAGGCAGAAACGAGAGTTAGGAGGGGTAGAGGTAATAAGATTACTGTTCACAAATAGTTAAGAATGTGGGTTGTTCTAGTTTTGGGGAAGTGTGCAGATTAGCTCAGGGTAGGAAAGAGTGGAGGTGTGTGTCCAACTAGTCTTAGGACTGACGACCTTATGATGATGATGTAAAAATGCAGAAGGAAACGAATAGTGAATTAGCAAGATTAAGAACTTTCCTTCTAACTTCCCTGAATTAATAGAGATGAACACAAAAATGGAAATCAAAACATTATTGTACGAAATTTCGTTAAATAAAAAGGATAGGTATAGATTTTATTAGGGTGTCAATTAGTGTCTACTAACGTAAGTAGGTACGAGTTGAAAGATGGTCTAAGTAGGCACGTTAGATAGAGTGGCTTTAGGTGGGAGGTCCTTCACGTAGGAAATCTAGTATTACTCATGTATACAAACCAAGGGCATTATTTCGCTTTTTCTTCAGGCCCTACGGTCACATTATAACAAAGGCATTGTTTATAAATTACCTAACTAAAAATTTACCAATTTTTATCTCCTCACCCATAATACAACCACAAAGATTGATTTGATCCCTCCTGCCTCACCACTTCGTTACACGTTCATTAACGTGCGGATGAACTCTCCATCCCACATATTAGCATTACATACTTTATGAACAGCCCAAAACAAAAAAAAAGAGCACAGAGAAGAACAAGAATTCTGAGGTAACTTAAATTCTAAAAAAAAAGGGTTATTAAGAAATAATATGATTTCTGAGGCACAGCTAAGTCCTCATAAGTCCTGGAATCTGCTATAAATGCCTTACACGCAATGACGCCCCGGTTACGAACTGCTTAAAACGCAGAATATAGAGAATGATTCATGGATCGCACTTACATTAATCACCTATTAACTAGATCTTTAATTTTTCACATTCAGATCTCTTATTATTGATAAGTAGATTTGGAGATCCAAAACGGTCAGTTGTTGAAGTTTAGTCAATCATTAGGTAACGTTCGGCCTAGTTTACTTCTACATCCCCTAGGTTCACAATATCTACTGCCTGTTTAATATTATGTTGTAGAGTCAGTCCTTTTGTCACATACTTCATGTGCAGATAAAAGACAATAAAAAAGTAGAAACCCGAAACTGCCAATAAAAAATGTTGTATAATTGATGATTTCACTTCAATGCTGATTTTTTATGGTAATGATAATGTCGCTACAATATGAAATGCCTAGGCCTGACAAATAAGACGGTTAGAATATTATGGAATAGCATGGTAATAATCGTCCATATATGTATAATAATAGAAATTATAAAAATTTAATATGGTCAAATTGGACGTTTGTTATGATGATATGCTGCAAAAATCAAATGAATGAAAAATGCTTTGACAAATATTGCGATTTAGAAAGGACCGCTGCAATACGGAACATGTGATATAATTTTACGCTGGGTGTCAAGAAGGAGTAAATTTTATTGTTTTTGAGGGTGTTTTTGGAAATTGCTAAGGAAAAGGCAAGAGAAATTGGCAGGTAACCCTGTAAAATATGATCAGGTGTAGTTGCACGCATAGCTATTAGAGGCAGAAACAGGAATTCAGAGGATTAAAGCTAAACCTAAATTATATTACTGTTTGATAATTCGCTCAAGTTATCGAGAAATGTAAAGATTGGTCCAAGTTAGGAAGAAGTGGATGTAAGAAAAGCTCTGCTTATCTCCTTCCTCCGCAAATCATTCGCTTTCAATTACTCACGGTGTTCTGATTAGTACTTAGTTTCTGAAATGTTACTTAAGTCATTTCGAAGTGCTACAAATATGTGTGTATGCAATGAAATCAATAAGTAAAGGTGACTACCGAAGTTGTAAATTATCTTGTACATAGACATACAGCCTCGATCGATAAGACAACGCTTGCATCAGTTGGTCAAAATCAATATAGCACGGTTATAAATCACACGCAAAACGACCGCATAACAAAAGAATTTCGAGTGTAGTATAGGAATTAAAAGAGAATGACTACGTTCACCGATTGAATTTCGCAACGAATGTGCTTCAACGATTTCATAATTTTGACAACAATTGTCGTTACTGGTTAGCAGAAAACCCTAAGCAAAAACGTGAGCGATCGGTGTCTACCAATTATGAACACAAAGCAACACTGCGAGATGGTTTCCAATTTTTTAGCACCATCTCTGCGACAGTTTCATGGCTTCAGTAGACAAACTTGCTTTCAATTAGATGGGGCTACTCAAATCTTTCAATTGGAGCAGTAGAGTTATTCCCAAAATAAGCTGATTTTGCGAAGAGTTCACTGATCATCGTGCAGTTAAAGCTGGAGTCTTTTAGACTATTCCTTATAGTGATACCTCATAAGGAACGTCTACTAAAATACCCTTAAAATATCGCAGTAAAAATGGAATCGGCATCTAAGACTTTATGCTAACGTCTAGATGTTAAGAAATTACTGCTCAAGATTAGAAAAGTGCAAGAAGCATAATGGGTTCCATGTGGCAACTTCATTTAAGTAAACATTTAATTGAGTTTTCGAACGGCAAAATTAAGATCGTTTATCGTACTATTTTACACTTTAATCGTAATACTATTACTTACCAGCTAGTAAATTTATGTAAAACAGGCCAATATGGGAGCGGCTGTTCAGAATCCTCCAATAAATCACACAATTTTGAACAATTGTAAACATCACTACCGCATTCCAAACTTGGAATATACAACTGCAGTGAATCTTCAGGCTGTGCTGTAGAACAAGAAGGATCAAATTCTAGCAACATCCATTTCACCGACTCCGGAAAAACAACTCTAAAAGTTAGATTTGTTTAAGAAAAAAGAATTAATATTTTTGCAAGCTTACCGATAATTTGAAACGGTAGCGGGCTTATAAGGATGGTCGCTTTGGATCCAACTGTAAAAATGGCTTGTGGTACATTGTAAGCTATCACTGGCTTCCCCTTGACTGATGGATCCATTTGAGGCAACTAATTTCGAGTTTTGTACCGATGAAGTTGATAGAAGATTCAGAGCAGCCACATGTGGCAGCATCTCTTGTACCAAATTTAACAAATGAACTGCACTCTAAAATATCATGTCACCAAATAAATAATGAAGAAATGAAGTATCAAAAGTATTGCATGCACTTGTGATTTGCTAATTTTTTATTTAAGAAATAGTTTTCAACTGGATGTTTAAGTCTTTTTTGGCTCTACTTTTAGCTACTCTTCTGAAGCTGATGAACAAAATTAAGTCTAGGTTTTTCGTTATTAATCAATGAAACATAAAATTGTACCCTTGGATCTGTAGTAATTAGTGGACTAATATGAGAGAACATGAGAGGCAGTAGAATCGTAACGACGTAGGCTGTGCTCAAAATTTCTGGTGATGGTACTTCATCAGCTTTTTCCCTGGCCAAAGTTAGAAGTTTGCAAGAAGTTTGGCACACCATTGTTGCTATGTTTAATGCTTCCCAACGAGCCTGTTGATCTAAAGATGTGCTCGATAGTTTTGTACATTCAACAGGATTGCTGGAACCAAAAGAAAATATTTTGCTTCACACACCATTATTCAAGAATCGAATCATTTACCTGTAATATAATATTATAGGAATCTGTCCGCGTGCTACTGTGGTACCATTAAAACTTAATGAACAAGTTGAAAAAGTAAATACAGTATTATCTGATCCCTTAACAGAATTCAACCCTCCATCTCCATTATTTGTTCTTCCGCCGTGGTTGCGTAGGCGTATAGCGTATTTTACGTTTTCCTATAAGTGTATTAATTACTAGATATGCAAAGAGTTTCTGAAATAAGTAGCAAGCTTGCAGGAGGTGATAGGGCACTATAAAAAAAGAAAATTAAGTAAATGTTTGATCGTCTGAAAGTCTACTGTTTTTGAGAAAAACGTATTTGAAAGGTCAGTCCTGCCCTGGCAGGATCACGCAAGAAAATACGACATTGCAACGCCGCATTCAATCAACTATTAGTAGCGTCTGCATTGTATTTTTTTTTGTATTTTTGTACTTATATATTATTTGTTATTTGTTAGATTAGATTAAGCGTGATTGACGATATTTACTTTACTTTATTAGTCGCTCTGCAACCGTAAATGCCTTGCATTTCTTTAAACGTTATCTATTTACGCCCAGGGCCGGCTTCGAATTGCAACTTCGTCTACAATTTTTTTGCCTCTTAAACACGTTGCTTTACAAACTATACGATCCCTTTTTGCATTTAATTAACATCCTCCCGAGCTTGCTATTTAATTCAGAAATACCCTGTTTAAGTAATTTCAGTTGTTAATATATTGAGTTCGTACTTTAATTGGAACAGGTCTCTCAAACTTTATTTCAGCGATGTCAGAAAGAAAATCCTCTGGCCCAAAGGAACCTCTAACAGTTTCCAAACTGTTCCAGCGCTGGGTATGAGCGTGACTCTCCAATCCGTTAAACGAGCTTTGCTGTTACAGATAATTAAACAAGGAAATTATTATTTATTTTGCTTTTTTACTTTTTCTAAACCTACATCCTCCAGAAGCTCTAATTCATATTCATAGTGGCCAGCTCCACCATAAATTGCAACCCCCGCTATGGATATACCAGGAACATCAACTTGAAAACATATAGCATCAGGAGAACCATTTCCAGTGTTCCATGTTCTGGACTGGTTCGTTCTTGTGAAGCGCGATGGAGTAGTATGTAATATACGTCCACAAGCATTTTGAAGATTTTCCTGATGAAGGGAGAGTTTTGTTATCATGAACTAGTGTTTAGTTAATTTCTTTAAAATCTTTCATTGTACAGAAGGATAAAGCAAGAATGAAACTACTTTTTATTAATTTCCGAACCCTCTCCATCCCTGATTTTAACTGTTGGTGGATTCAGTTCAGCAAGTATGCAAATGGATCTTGCTGAACATATTGAATTCCACTACAAATGATGTTTACCGCAGGATTTCATTCATGAATTTGTTTAATTCATATTAAATTCAGAATAGTGTATTTGTATTAGAAAATCCCACAAATGGCGTGGTGAGCGCCATCTGTAGTACGATGCTACATTTTAGGATTACGTATGCTCCAACAAGGTCCATTTAAAAATACCATAATTGAATGGTAACGTGTCTATCACGTTGAGGTGAGCTACGCCGGGATTCGTTTCAGCAAGTAGATATCCATATTTTTAAATGGACCTTGTTGGAGCATACGTAATCCTAAAATGTAGCATCGTAATACAGATGGCACTCACCACGCCATTTGTGGTATTTTCTAAAACGCGCTGTTAAGACAGCAGGTAAAGGTTGGTCTGTGTTCTGTCGGAGCTGCCTGCGACGCGCTGATGAGATCCAAAAAGATCGAAATCGCGATCCGCGTCTGGCAGTTTCGACAGAATACAGATCACTTCAAATTATTTTGTTTGTATTTGTATTAATTAAAATCTGAAAGATTTACAAAGACCACTAAAGAGAATGTAAGGAGCAGAATGATCCTATGCCTCCTAAGTGATCTTTTGTGGTCTAATATTTTTTGATGTGAAACATCTCTAGGTGCACCAAAATGGTAAAAATGAGTCAAACACGGCAAGACACTGCCCACAGCACGACAATGTGCATGGCGAGACATTGAAAAACAAGTGTGTCCATTCGAATAATTTCGATGCTTCACATCTGTCAAGCGGCACCTGACGGTTAATTTTTGTTTTCTATTTGAATTAATTTTAATGCTTTGTACCTCGTTTGAATTTGTTTGATAAACCAATTCAGCTACAACTCTTGCCAGGAAGTGACAACAATTTCGCGTGAGACTTTGGATAGAAGTATTCCTATGTCCTAAAAGAGATTGTGAAATGGGTTCTCCTACCAATTTGAGCAATTGATCCAAGACATCTTTCCACGTCCAAGTTGTACCCAAATTGCTTGACTCAATCTAAATAAAATTCAGCAAATATTACGTAACTTTTCAAAAATAGAAAAGACGTCATCGCTTACTTGAGATTTGTATGTCATCTGTTCTACAAGAAGTGGGTAATGGTGAGGATAATCGCTTGATGTTAAAGTTTGAATTGACGAATTTTCTGGACTAACGCTTTTATTAAATATGTTCGACAGCAAAGGTAGAGTACTTCTGAGCCGTACACTTGGACTGCAAAGGGCGCAAAGTACTGCGCTCAACAACCTTTGGTTTTTTGTTGCCGTATAATAATCTTTTTCCTTAAACAAAACCATATTTTGCCTGCCTTATAAGATAACAATTTCAAATACTAGGTCTGTTCAAATAGTATCGCGAATTTTGAATTCACTTATATCAACAAGTTCGGTCATGTTGAATGCTCAGTTAACAGCTGCTTTGCTTGCACGTGTTTTAGCTCGTCTTCGATTTTTGCCTATTCCAAAACATTGATCAAAGAATTTGTTTCAAATGTCAAAATCAAAATTCCAAATGTTGGCTGTGGCATATGATGAAGTTACCTTGGACCGAAGCAACGTTTATCGGTGATAAAAAATGTTTTCAGAGAGCCGAGAATATGAGAACGACAGAGAGCGTGCCGGACGCCCGAGCACATCAACAACTGACGAAAACATTGATGAAGTGAAGAAAATAGTATAGGTCAATCGTCGAATCACCGTTAGAGAAGTTGCTGAGGACTTAAACATATCGATTGGCTCCTGTTATTCGATTTTTACCGATGGTTTGGGCATGAGCTCGGTCGTCGTGAAATTCGTACCAAAATTCCTCAATTTCGACCAAAAACAGCATCGCATTGACATTGCTAAGGAGCTGTTGGACTCGCAACGAAACAAATTTGCTCCAGTGACGAATCATGGGTTTATGGTTATGACGTAGAAACCAAAGCTTAATCATTCCAATGAAAGCTGCCGTACGAATCAAAACTTAAAAATGCCAAGTTAAGTCGAATGTGAAGGTTTTGCTTAAAGTATTCTTCGACTGCATGGGCGTGGTGCATAATTAGTTCTTGCCACAGGGTAGAACGGACAATAAGGAATATTACCTGCAAGTTATGCGTAATTTGCTCAAAGCAATCCGCCAGAGACGCCGGGATTTGTGGCAGAACATAAATAAATTGGCTTTTGCACTATGATAACGCCCCTGCTCACACATCGTTGCTTGTGCGTGAATTTCTGGCCAAAAACAACACACTAATAATGTTGCAGCCCCCGTATTCCCCAGATCTGGCCCCCTGTAACTTTTTATTGTTCCCGAAAATGAAGAAGATTATGAAAGGACGACGGTAGTATGGATTACTTTAAAGGGAACAAAATAGATATTCATGAATAAATAAATAATTTTTGAAAAAACAAAATCGCGATACTTTTTGAATAGACCCCGTATGTACCTACTCACTTTATTCATTGTTATTAATAAATCGCATAAGCAATTCCACTTCAAATACGGCGTTGGATAAAAAGCATGAAAACAAGCAACAAAAGTGTTATGAGACTCATCAAAAATGCTGTTCATTAGTTTTAGGTAGGTGTTTCCGTATTTAACGTTTTTCATTTTGCTCGACTTACGACTTTGTATTAAAGCTGGAAGATTATCAGAAAGTATTTGCTTTAAAAATGATCTCACTTCCCCTATGCATTCTGCAAGATTCACATTTTCCGTTTGTAACTTCCCAGTAATCTGAGAAGGATAAATTTCATTTATATAACTCCTGAGTAATCGTAGACTTGCTCGACTGATATAAACAAGTCTTTCCAATTCCAAAACATTATAAGTGTATTGGGAGTTATGACCATCCAATATTCCAATTTTAAAAGTGTTCCATGACCATTGTAACAATGAAAGTAAACTTTGGAAGCACTCTTTCGTAACTGATCGAGAGAATTCTTTGGTCAGAAGATGCGCTGGTTCAATTAAGTCGACTTGACGGCTTGGAGATTGTGTTTCAGGTGTAATAACTTTGTACAGAAGCTGAGGAATTTGGCCGGCATTTACATCAGTGCCATTATTAGACTTCTTCGACGATTTGAAGTAAAAGAGCACTTGATCTTCTGTTGTTACCATTGTTTGGCCAGAAGATCCACAGTCGCTACTTGGTCCACTTATTCGACACCATGCAACATACCATCGGTGGGCCTAAGAAAAATATGATACTATATGAAATTTAAACATTTCCTATCTGCGTTACCTGTAACGGTATAGGTTCGTCAAACATAATAGGATACTTTTGCCTGGGTCCACACTCGTACGGGATCTCCTCGGTTTCCGCCAGAAGTTCCCCATCTCCCTCATGTTCACCTCCATCCGTCCCTATATCCAGTAACTTTATTTTAGCGGTATATTCACCACGACCACCAAATAAACCAAAACCACCTGGAAATGTTTCATTCAGTGCCTTCAAAGTTGGCTTAATAAGGCAACTCACCCAAAAGTATGTCAGTATCTGCCATGAAGCGTATAGCTTCCACACTATGTCCAGAATATCCCCAACCGCCTCCATGACTCTCAAACCGGTTCACTGTTTGAAAATCATCCCTGCTGTACTGTTTTTCAGAAATCATGTGCTTATTATCGATTTCTTCTTTTACGGCGCTCATATGGAGGTCATAGGCCACGCAAAGTGTATCGAGACAACACAGAAGATGTAAAGCAGCTTGAAATCGAGTAACATGGCAGTTGGAAACGGTTGGAAGAGCTAATTCTGGGCTCAAAATGGACATGATGTTGAATTCTGATGTTTCAGTATCGAGGAAGCGTTCTATATTTGAATGCGTCTTTGTATTCACTAATGTTCTTTGTTCTGGCGTCTCAATTACTTTTTTGTTTGATAATTCGCTTGCCACAATGTTATAGCACGAAATTTCATTATTTACAGCTGAGAAAGACCACACAACATTATAAATCGGATCGAGGCATACAGCCTTGTAAGAGAAATCCACTTGTTCTTTTCCTTTGAAAGAATTGCAATTTCCTTCCCTTTTATTGATCAAAAGGCATTTGAAGTTTGTGCCGTTTTCATGCTGATTAGGGAGAAGAACTGACAAATACAATAATTTTTAAAATAGTAAAGCTTTTTTTAATTAAAATTGGTAGATTTTCACCTATGCAACTTTTGTTGGCCGTAACTGTTGATTTGGCTAAACTGACGGAATTGATGAGACTCTCGTCAATTTTTAAAAATGTTTGATCTCCTGAAGCGCCAATCCATGTCGCTCTTCGACCGTATCTGGAACCTATGTTGGGTATAGGTGTTGGTATTGCATACCATGGACATTTGAGATCACGATATCTGGAAGCGTGGCTTTGACCAGGTTGATTAACATCTTGGGGAGAAGTGGGTGGTGGAAATCTGCCTAGTTGACCCTTCTGTAAAAATAAACGACCCTTTAGATTTACGAAAGTGGAAAGCGATTGCAAGAATTTTTGACCTGATAATTGCCGAAAGTGTAAACTTCCCCTTTTGCTGTTAGAACAACAGTGTGGTTGCTCCCTGCTGCAATTTGGACTGCACTGCACGGAAGCCTGACTAATTGTATATTAGATTTTGTAAGGATATCTCCACATCCCAACTGACCAAACTGATTTGATCCAAAGCTATAAACCTTGTAAAGAAAAGTTATAAAACGTAACATATAGAGTGAAGAAATGGTTATTGAATTCATTACCTGTCCATTTTGTAACAAGAGAACGCTATGATGCAAACCGCAAGCTATCTGAATAATGGGACTGTTACATGGTAACTGAATTTTTGCTGGAGGAAGGGATGTTATACGGTTTGTGTCCCTTTCAATGTCGGATCCTGTTTGATCTTTACCTGAAATTAAATACTCGTGTTCATAAATCTTGTATTTGCCATTGAGCAACGGAAACAATGACGAAATAACGAGAAACCACCCATTAAATAAACATGTAGATGAAAATTGTAATGATTAGGTTACTATTACAATTTTTAATCATTCGTCAATGAGTATGTACATTTTCGCCGAAGTGGAGTCAAATTATATTATCGTTCATTTATTAAAACATTCTAAGGTAATATCTCAACTTGAAAAAAGTAAGTGATGATTTGGAACCACGTTACTAAGAAGAAGTTAATTGAATAAGCCATTAGGTTAGAAGTTTCAACAACACGACTTTTTAAGATAGGGATTATTTTCTACTATTTTTCTATTTTTCATATTTTTAATGTCAATAACTTCCCAACTCAGTTCTCTTAATGGGTGGTGAAATAAATGTTCTTTAAATCTGACTAATTTATTTTTATCATTCAGTTTCAGAAAACTTCATTGTTTGATTGCGTCAAGCTAGCAAACATTCCTAATGGTTATTTTTTCTTTCGTTGAACGCTTCAATTGCTGGGATAATGAGGTCTTTTATAACCCCAACAGCAGTAGACTGGATAAACAATTTTTCAACCAGAAAGAGATCTTTTGGTAGTAGTTAAATCTAAGGTGACTTCTCGTAGATTGTTTTTTTTTTACTTGATTAAATTGCTTGGATATTATTTATTATTTAATAAGAGAATTCTTTACATTGTTGGTCCATATTACCAAATCACGTTAGCAACTTTGTCTAGCTAGTAAGTAATTATCCTAAATTATTTGATTAAAATGTAAGAGCTGTTAGGTTTGAGCATCCACTGCATCAGTGTGCTGTGATGTAGGCAATCAAAACAGAATAATTTTTATTATCATTTTTGTTTTAAAATTCCTTACTATAGTTTCGACAAACTGCATTATCATTATCAAACGGATGATTCAAATGGAATTAATAGAAACNGCCGGAGTGTAAGGAATCGCTTATTCATTGAATAACTGCGATAATCTTAAAATAAATATAAATAAATACCTATATATTACACATGTGTATTATTTATTCTTTTTTTTTTAAATCATCCGTTTGATAATGACAATAGGTATCTACAATTTATCTAAATCTGTAGTAATGAATTTTGAAAATGTGGCGATATTATCTTTCATTACATTTTGATTAAATTTTATATATATATATTAGTATTTATGTATATATGTTTAATTTTGTAAATAATCCTTTTGAATACGTTCAGGTAAATTTGGTTTATTCGTAAATATGCACATTCTTACAAAAACATTCCTACCTTTTGTTCTCCCGAGATAAAAATGTTCAGTCTCTCAGTCTCTGAAAGCGAGATTCGAGCCTCCGTCTCTTATCGAGTCTCTCAGGTGTCGCTGAGAGAGACTGTCGAGATACTCCAAAAAACTGTTTAACGTCTCTGAACGAGAGATTCGAGTCGTTCATAGAGAGATCCTCATTTCGTATCCAGTTTCTGAACGAGAGACTCAAATCTCTGAACGAGAGACTGGAATCTGTAAATTAACAATTTTATCGTTCGAGTCTCTCATACAGAGACTGTGAGAGATCCATAAAAACACCTAGACAATAACTGAGAGACTGTGAAAGACTGTGAGAGATGCTCTCGGAGACGCTGAAAGACTCTGAGAGACTGAAAGTTTTTGTCTAGGGCTTTCATTACTGTTCTATACTCTAATGTAATTTCTTTTGTTCACATTTCTATACTTCACTAAAAACCTGATAACATTTCAGTTTCAGTTGCTAGCCGCATGACGTCTAATATTCTAACTCCTTAATTACATTTTCATGATAGATTACTTCGGTACTTTTGGATTTACGTCCTTTCGCTGTATTTCTGAGTAATAATTATTCCAGATTTCACAACCTTCTTGTTAGTTTCCTAACTTAGTTTAACCACTTCTAGATCCTCCCTTATTTTTCTTTCTAACAATTAACTCCTACTTTTTAGACTTGGTAATACTTCATCTTTAATATTATAGTTAGTTCCTCTACAGTTCTGCGACAATAACCTTGATCAGAATTCAACATGTCAACCTGAACAACTGCCTTTGTATTAAAAAATACCTTTATAGTTAATTGTGCGTTTCATTAACGCTAAAAAAATAAGGTCTATAATAAGCAAAGTAGTGTTATTTTTGTTTATCGTTAAGATTATTAGATTATTACAGAGTGACAATTAAATCAATCCAATATTTACCAGTTAAACTATTTTGCCTTGTGGCAGCTGCAGTGGGATTTGCTCGATGTACTGGTGTACTTGGAATAGGCATAAGAACAGGGGACGATCTTATTGATTTCAACTTCGGCATAATCTGACGACTTGGTCCTGCAATTGATTTTCTACCTCTACTTTTTCTATCATCCGTTCTAGTCTGCAACTGATATATCTAATATAAAAACAACAAAAAATTTTCATGGAATGCAATGACAGGTATCTAATACACTTGCCTAATTTAAGCATTTAAAAAAAAATGTGAACAGAGAAATTTTAATCCTTATTTCAATCATGTCTACACCTACCGGATCTTGCATTTTGACTTTTTGTCGACTAGGTAGAAGTTCCTTAACTTTATCTCGAAAAATAACGTCGAGTCTCATCATTCCAGATAAATCTGCTGCACCACTTGGTCCAAGGATTGCCAATTCAGAATTATCGATATTTTCATGGGCGCATATACGACAACAACCACAAACGGCACATCCACTATCTCCTTCCCCACACCCGCATTCTCTACAAAAAAACTTTTGCGTGTACTTCATTCCCACCAGCTATTAACGCTGGTGGACGGGTAGTCTTCCCATCATACCATCTAACGCAAATCCGAAAGATATGGGGAAGACCTTCTTCAACCTTTTGGGAATTGTGGAAACGGGTGGGAGGTGATTGAGGAGAGGCAAATGTAATGGACAGACAGACATAAGAGATCAAAAAGACTTTATTTATAAAATATTACTGCCCCATTTGCTTAAATGATCCAGGCCACAACAGCAGACCCGGAATTGAACCGGTGTTCATCCGAATTCTAAACAATGGTCTAGCATTACAGTTAGAGTACGTACGAGATAAGAAATATTAAATTAAAATATAATATACTCTATCAAGGTAAAATATACGCAGAGTAAAATAAATAAAATCATTGTGAACTTTCTTCAAGTGTTTTTTGCCACTATTTTTAAGAAATATTCAATGAATAGGGCCGTCGAGAGGAGGCTAGG